TTGTGGTTTGCAGAGGGACGAGGGGGGGGTGGGGGGGAATTTAAATAGCAGAGGGAAAGTTAACGTCCCTCGTTTTGTGGCGCGAGAAAACCGCGGAAAGCTTATGGCGGAACGATGGACCGCAATTAGCTGATTCAATTCGTGGGGCATGGGAATGTTTTCGTTTTCGGAGTGGTCAACATCCTGCGGAAGCGGAAGATGTGTAGGTGCTAATTCGGGGCTGATTAAATTAAATATTAGTGGCTAGAATTTGTATTGAAGTGGGTCTGTTACATAAAGAGAGAGCCTCTTTGATGGCCTTGTAGGTCCTAGCTTCTTTTATAATGTGAATAAGTCAGGCCATTGATTGTTGTTTTAATTAATTATATATAGTTTACTCAGTATAATAAAATAAAGAGATAAATTAGAATTTATATTTTTTGCAATGCACTAATTATTCTATTTCCTTATATATTTATTTTATTAGGTAGCCCATGAAATAAATTTTAACAAAATTAAATTTAAATGATGCATATATTACGAACTTTCAAAATTCTTTTACAGAGAATTATATATAGGTTATCGTACAACTAAAAAGTGATTATCTAGATCATCATAAATCGGACGACTCGCATCCCATCCATCAACGAAAGCAGTTCTAGATAAATTAAACGACATAAATTTGGGATGATGGACGATCATACGAGGCTGCAAATATCATAACAAGGCATCAGAGGCCGAGAAACCGAGACCAAACACCAAAGGCTAAACTAACATGGTCGAGCACCACAACATCAATCTAGGACGGTGAACGAATGTATGCAGCTATAGACACCAGACCGGGCATCAGAGGCCAATCGATCAACGTTGAGCGGTCAAGACTGAGCACCGCACGTCGAGTGACATTGGTCGAGCATCGGTAGCCAAATGTTGGCAGACGATCAATTAGAGTAGGATATTTAAAGATCAAGTACTCTAGTCTTCATGCCTCAATAGGTCAGCAGAGAAAAAAAAAAACAATACCTGAAAGCAGGTTACGGTCTGAAAACACCGAAGCTCCTGGGAGAAATCAGGGAGTCCGATGGTGTGATGAAGAATTCGGTTAGTACCATAGTCATTTGTGTTCGGACCGCCCACGATGCAGATGACGGGGAGATTCTCGCTATAGGCTCCGGCGATGGCGTTGAGAATGCTGAGGCCGCCAACGGTGAAGGTGACGGCGCATGCACCGACGCCTTTCACGCGGGCGTAGCCGTCGGCGGCGTACCCTGCATTAAGCTCGTTGCAGCATCCGATATTGGTGAGGCCGGGCTCGGCAATCAGATGGTCGAGAAGCGTGAGATTGAAGTCCCCGGGGACGGAGAAGATGTCGCGGATGCCGATTTGGACGAGCCGACGGGCAAGATGGCGGCCGAGGGTGGCTTCCCCTGCCGGTGAAGGCGGTATCACGGTGTGACAGGATGCCGTAGGAATGCTCCCAACTGCACCGTTTGCCGGCATCATCGGCACGTCAACCGATCCCAACTTGGTTTCCATGGAGAAAATTGGAGAAGGGGTGAAGGTTATTGGAAGAATTTTGTGGTTTGCAGAGGGACGAGGGGT